AAATGTGGGAAAGGGAGGAGTAGGGCATTTAGCGAGAACATCGCTAGCATAAACCACCTTACTTCTAACATCACACGCTCTTAAAACCCATCTTCACTCAATTCATTTCCATGCCCCAGTGCATCATCAACGTCCCCCTCTTCATCTGTTGGACCCAAAGCTCAATTGGAATCATTCAGTCTGTAGAGGACACTCTCACCTGCAGAATCGGAATCAAGCATCACCAAAGGGCGGAGTCTATGAAAGGTGGTTAAGAGGACATGTAGATTTGCACAGATAAGTCATAAATACTGTGGGTGACTCCTCCTGGCAGCTGTCCAATCATCTTCATCTTGCAGCTCAAATGTGATGTTCAACACTAACACTCTAGACAGAGAACTCACTTTCAGAATCAGAATCAAGGCATATCACCGATGGAGCTCTCTTTCTCGGCTCTTCCTCTTCCTCTTCAGGGCTGTGTTTGGAGGTCAGCAGGCTTCGATATGTATGGGAGCCAACCATACCTTGATGATCGATCACTATTGGTATCATTAAGTACTGCCAACTGCATGTGAAAGCTGGGAAGCATGCCTGAAACTTACCTAGGTGACCTGTAATCACTATCATCTCCACCCCCACCCCCACCCTCATCGCTAACCTCTCTCCCATACAGTGACAAAGGGGCATTTCCCTTGGGCGATGAACCAGCACCGTTCCCATTTGGCTTCCTCCGCTTGAGAGATTGGGGATGTGGCAGAGAGTTGGGTTGAACCGAATTGGCACGCTTCCTGTTCAGGATTATTGCCTCAGCGGTAATCTCAGGAGCCTTCCCCTTTCCGTTTCTATCCAGATTCGCCAGCCTATCAACTCTAGGGTTGAACTTGTCGAAGCGCTTCTTGAAATGGTTCTGCCATGAAGCGACAGGATGTTTGCTGGTCCAGTGGAGTTCTGCCTTCTATGTGCAGTTCAGCCCAATGGTGGGTTGGGGTGAGATTCAGGGTAAGAGTAAGTAAGCAGCAACACACACATCCTCACACATCCGCTTGAACACTGTCCAAGCAGTCCTGCTGCTGTGTGCATTGCCAGGGATATGTTTGGGGACGTTGCAAGAGGGCTCGCGGCTCTCTATGCCGACTAAGCTCGTGGGCCAAACTCTCCAAATCCTACTTTCTTTACTAAACTCGCTATGCTCTCGATCCTAAAACTCCGTGGTGGGTTCTCCGGGATTTCCGCAAGGTCCGGGCTCAGCGTCCACTACTCACTCGTTGTGAGCTAGACAGCTGCCCTTATTCCTACTGTTGGAATTCCACTCACTCACACCCTCTCTAGCGCGTCCTAGCACCTTAGAGAAAATGGGGAGGGAGAACTTCTATTCCAAAATCCGGTATGTACAGGATATAAGGAACAATTATTTTTAGAAATAATAGATGGGGAATATTGATGCCATATGGCACCTGCATACCTTATTAGGCGAAATAATAAAAAGGGTAACAGTATCAATAAAAGAATATCAATCAATAACTGAAATGATGGCAAAATATGAAAATATAAGAAAATAAGCGATTTCTCAATGGATTTGCGGAATTAAGAGCCTAAATTTGAAATGTAGCCGGAGATAACTCTCACACAGCCAATAAGCATTTTTACCAATTTATTAGACGCCGTGGGAACGAGTGAGGCTGGAATTCTGGGTTGCCGCTTGAGATTCCCACGCCCGCACATGCCCGTGCCTAACTTGCCCAACATGGAACTCCGTCAAATCTCCTCCGATTGGGACGTTCTTGATATCGTCAGAACCGTACGAATTAGGACTATTTTTGGGTACCAAATTCATATCGAGTTGTCGCGTGAATGGAAGTGGTTTCTGAATGTTGGAAGCGGGTATCTGAGCCGGCTCTGTGCGTGGGCGATTATCCCGCCTACAACGTTGATCGCTAGCCATGCAAGCATCCGCTCAACCTGTTCATTGTAGAACGGTTTTGCTTGCTCTCTTCTACACACAAAACTCATCAGGATCTTACACAGAAAATGCAGTTACATATACCAAACCTGCCACTGGAGTTACTCCCGCTAGCCTATCAAAATGAGTGCTACATGTCGAAGGCCATGGAGAAAACCTGTACCTGTTGGGTCTGATCCATAAGGAGGTTGATAATTTGAAGTATAAGTATGAATGAAAAAATTGTGATGGAGATAGACATGTGACCAAAAATTCTTGTCATGACTGATCTTATTATGCCACAACCTTAGATCCCTTCACTGGCCCCTCTACATTCATACAAAACCTATCCCAAAATGAACTATGCCCCGGGCTATGTTTTTTTCAAACAACTTTTCATTTTTGAGACCCATATCTTCATAGATCTCCCCAGCAGACTGGGGGAGAGCCTGACTTCTCCAGGAGATCTTCATGTTGTATTGAAGCATTCAAATCTCACATTTAGACATCCAATTTTGGCCCTCAAGTGTCAAGGTTCCACATCCATTTAAGCTGGATTTCACAATTTTCTGACAAGGGTCTTTTTGTATTGTCACAAGTCCGTGACAGAAATTTCTGTCACATCTTTTATGGAAGTGCAGGGGATCATGTTGGCTACCAATTATTTGCACTCACTTTTGCTATCTCACTTGCTCTTGCTCTTATACTGGGTCACTACACCATACCCACTGTCCACCATTAGCATCCACTATACCCCTCAGGGGATTCCGATGCCAGTGTGTTGTGGTTATTGTTCCCTTTTATGGGAAGCTCCCTTGTTCTAATGGTTTAGCCTTTGTTCCTTTGTGCCACACAGAAATGTATATAAGTGTGGTGTGTAGAGCTGAGTGCAATGTCTAATGATACTGTGATACCATACTCAGGCAAGTTCTTCTTATCATATCCTTGTATTTATGACATATCTACTGATACTGTGATATCATACTCAGAGGTCGGGCTGCAATGCCATGATTATAACAACATTGACATACAATCAGAATGCACACATGAAAATATACATTGTTTACATCAAGATAATAAAGGAAGCATGCACCATGCATCACCACCCTGAGACCCATCCCTTCCTTACAGGCCCTTCCTCATTCTCAGTCCCCGATTGATCCGATCTGACCATGCTTGGACATCCTCCTGAAGCCAAACATCAATATATGGCACCATGCTACGAGGTTGCTCTAAATTGACAAATACAACAAGTGCATCTGAGGTTTGGAGTTCCAACAAGTCAAGATAATTGTAGTCTCTGATGCCATTGGGCAATGCCTGTGGGAGGTCTGTTGGTCGATGCATAGAACGGGTCATTGTTCGCATGAAAGACCGAATTCCTGACAATTTCAGTGATGTCCCCAATATCAAAAACACGCGTGGTGAGGAAGATGCATCTTGGTCCAGTAATAAGCCCTTCTCTTCAGCGACTGGATCACTTTCTGGACCATCTTCTGTGTAGACGATTTGATGGCAAAGCACACCAACATGTCTTTGGCACCTCAGTCCTTCTTTTTTCCGTCTTGCCACTATATGAGAAAGATCGAGAGTGTGGATAAAGGACAGGTAGCACTGAGTTCTTTACCTTCTTCAACACACTCCTTACATTCAGGGAACAAGCCCTTTTTGTATTGTGCAACATGTTGTGCAGTGAGCACACATGATTTAGAACAGATATTACATCTCAGCATACTATGGCATAACAAGCTAAGCATGGGCAGGCAGCATGTTAGGAGAGAACATACCTGAGAGACCCATGCAGGGTTATGTGGACCTGCCTGCCATTGCCGTCAAATAGAGGAAGACCTGCCTTGGAATCAAGATCATCCACATTTTGCATATAAGACCGGCACAACAGTTTGAGCTGAGACAGGTGAACGAGGAGGCTGTGTGCTGTACTGGGTGGGGCTTGCAAGCAAAGCTCTGAGAGTCTCCCTAGTGTCTTGAGCTGTTCTGCTGCTTGTTCAGGTTGCTGCACCCTAGTGCGGAACACATCCCTGTAAGGGATACTGCCATCTTTGTTCTTGGTCTTGTAGAGGCCAGTGGCAGAATGGAAGTCCTGGAGAATGATTAGAGCTCTCCCATGCTACTTCTTTCTTTGCAAAAACAAACCAGGATCCCGGAGGCACATGAAACTCCTGCACCAGTGAGTGTGACAACCCGTTCTGGGAAAGATCGAAGCAGATGGAGGCAAACAATGGCATCAAATGAGCCCTTATCAGATGATTTTATCATATTGTTGCAAGAGGGGTTGGGATGTTGGATACAAAGTGTGAAGGTTTGTTTTTGTTTGTTATGGTAATATTAATAATGTTGATGGTCACATGTCACCAATCGGTTCCGATGACGGAGTGGGGAGGAGAGAAGTGAGGTTTGGGGGATTGTTCCTTACCTCTCCCAGTCAACGTCCCAATGTAGAGGCACTGGACTTGCACCAAGGGTTGTCCACTATTCCGGTTTTACAACCCCACTGATGACGGCGCCCCCGCCCCACCTAGAGTAATCATAGCCACGACCCGTCCCCCGACAACTCAACTCAATCTACCCCAAGCCCAGCAAATACCTGCACAGAGTATGTAGTACCGGAAGGAACCCAGGACATAGTACTCGACTCCGGAACTGACACTGCTGCTGAAGGGGGCCTAGTCGACCACCCAGTGGTTATCCACCCCTCCATAGGGCAGTGCAGCACACCCCAGGACCAACAAGCACATAATGCCTATACCCTCCCAGGCGACTTGGCTACAGAGTCCTGGGGGTCTTCAGCGCACACCTATGCTTCAACGTATCAGACAGAGCCCAAGCAGCCTGGCAAAACACGATGAACTACTCCGTTTTCCCTGCATGCAGAAGGCCAAGGCAGACGCTACTATCTTCATGAAGTGGGCCTTCCCTGGTTTAGCAAACACTCTCGTGGTCATCCCAGCCACAAAATTAAATGACCAGCAAGCAGATGAGCCACTTCCCCGGGGCATAATGATAGCAGGCCTAATGTACAGCAACACGGCCACCCACCTCTCCAATCGGTTCTGGATCTCCAAGGCCTTCAGCTTCGCTGCCTACCCTGCGACAGACTTCACTGCCAATTGGCCAGCCGTCTCAGACAAAAACCTGGTGCAGACCAGCACCCCGGTGGACCAACACCTAGCCAGCAAAGTCCTGAACATGCTGCTATGCCGTGAGACCATTAACTCAGCAGAGGACGGCCTAATCACCATGATTAGACACGGCAACGCCTCTACACACTGGGTCTTCACTGCCAATTCCCCCCCACCCCACCGACGTGTTCCAACACAGACAGTGGGGTAGCCGTGGCTGGAAGTACGGAATGGTATCACCCTTCCATCGCCACAGGTGAACTGCAAGTGCTGCAAGGGTAGAGACCTACCAGCGCCGAACTTACTGCCACCCACAACCACAGACCCTCAACGAGCGGGGATGGCAGATGCGGCCGAGGCGATCAAGCCAATCCAGATCATCTCAACCTCCGGGTAGTGCTGATGAGGCCCCACGATCTGTATCAGAAGAATCAGCCTGACCCAATTTGTGTAGTTAGACTCCAGGAAATGTTCTCGTTCTGACCTTGGATGTATTTACATTCGTAATCAATTCAACATTCGCTCCCGTCCTCCAAGTCAGTCACATCCCTCGGCCCCAAATCACCCTACAGCGCAAAGTCTACATTCTTACAAGCTCCAAGGGCCCCTACAGCATTCAACCACTACACTACAAGATGCCCCCATGTGCAACGACACCTCTTCGTTGGCTTCCAATGGATCATCGGTTTTGGTCTATTGCAACTGGCTCCGACAAGTCGATCTCATCCAGTCTGCACTGAAGGTCAATGATATCAACTTGGAATCTGCAACCTCAGGTGATAGTGTCCATGTCCGAGATAAAACTCTTAACCGTTTCAGTTCCAAGCAGGATCGCAGAGGCAACCCTTGCCACGTGTTGATCATTAGTGGTGTGGGTACAACGGGGCTGAACATCACAACAGCAAACGTTGTTATTTTCGCTGTATGCTTCTTGGCTTCTGACCTTGACAATGGTTCTCTGATACTCACCCATAGGATCAACTTTGGAGCTCCCAAGATGAGCGTCAGGTCATAGGCCGTGTGCAACGGAAAGGGCAAACCAAGAAGGTCACAGTAGTCTGGCTGCTGGCAGATGGTACCACAGATACTTTACTGTATCAGTTTGCCCAGGGAAAGGCAAGGCAGAGTGAAACATTTGTTTCCAAAGCTAAAGGTACATCCCTATCGAGGTCTTCAGCCATTTTATACTGACATACTGCCCAGCATTTTTGGCATTGAACAACGACGAAGATAGTGATGGGGATACAAGTGACAGCGGCGTTGACGATCGCTCTCCTTCCATTGTGCAAGTGAAAGGGAAAGGGACAAGCCACAAGAGGAAGAGAAGCAACAATGTTGCTGACAAAGGAAAGAAGCAGAAAACAAAGGGGGGTTTCAAGGGAAAAGAAGTTGCCGCCCCCCCAGCGCTTTCCCCAATCCTCTACCATCATCTTCAAAGGGAGAAGTCCCACTCCCTTTAGATGCTGGCAGAAGTAGCCCCACCGACGATGGCTCCCTGGATCTGTCTGGAGATGTGCCTCCAAGGTTCCCATCTTCCTCGTCAGCCACTGATTTCAACCACATTTTTGGTAACACCGACGCCACGATGTCAACATCTGTGACTGGTTTATCTCCCATTTCATCTGCCCCTAGCTCCCCTGGACTCTTTGCTTCAACCCTGCCTTCCTCAGGGTCCTCAAGCAACCAAGTGGAGGGTTCAAGACCTTCAAGTAATCCATATCATCGACGGAAACTTGAGACGGTGCCTTCTGACAGTGATGAAGATGGAGAAGAGTTGAACCCCAAACCCTACATCTCACTGACACAGCCAAATAGACCTCGACGACGTTGAAACTGGGCTAAACGTGCATGGCCACTTGGAGGGAATGGATGGTGGAGCAGTGGTGACTTTCGTGTTTATTTCTTGTTGTACACCATTGCATTTACATTTGTATGGCTTGGGCTTGGGTAAAGGGTATACCCTAACCCACTGCCAAATATAAGTTGATGCAGCCTACGATCTTGACAGCCAGAGGATTGAGGAGTCAACGAGGCCGGCACCCCAACCAGCCTTACACTGCTACTTGGATGGGCATGGTTGCATTGAATTCCTGTATTTTTCCACTTCCACAATATATATGATTCATTTCTGTAAGCATGTGGTTAGGATCGTGCTATTTGTACCTTATATACATACCATCACCATACTTGCTCATTTCTCGACGGTTTTCCTTCAGGTGACCGTCTTTATCAATTAATAATTCTCCTGACTGCTTTGTCTTGTAATTCTTAAGCACCGTATATTCTTGTTGACTTTATATATTTGGGTGCCCTACAACGTTGTGGTTGTGCTGTGACACATTGTGTGACAGAAATTTCCGTCACAGTCACTTGAACATGCCATTGCTTCTCTATTGCACATTCAGAATGGAAGGCTTGCATCACCATCACTTTGAATGTAAAGGTGATTGTGGTCAATAGCCCAGCATGTATTGATGCTGCAAGGGCCATGTTTAGTGAAAGATGATTCCACCAACATAATCGTCGGGATAACCTATCAAACCAACCATGGGGTGAACCCCATCATTCGAGGCGACTTCTATGGGTTCAAACCAGTCGTCCAGCATAGTGCCTCGTCATACTGGCCTGTCAACGTTTCAAAAGACATGGAAGAGGAAGCGATGAAAAAGTGGACCTTCGATATACGGAAACGCAATGACAGACACTTGACGATGCTACAGAAACTATTGCTATCATTGCCCAAAAACAACCCACCTTGGAGTAATGTGCTCGTAACACCTCACCATGCAGTTCAAATGCAATGGAACGATCAATCACTACGATGACATTGCCCGATATTTGTATCGTTTCCCCCTGCCTGCCTATCAGTCAGACTGGATTCTGAGCATTTTGTCTTAATCACTTACACACTTTCATGTACCCTAGCGTAATATGCTAGGTAACTAGTTTCAATGCTATTAGTTCAACAACGTGCCCACTCTCTTCCTGTCACGAACTACTCAAGCTCTTATAGCTCCTTCGAAAGTGCCTTGATCAGACTTCGACCGAGTTTCGATCGAATTACGAGCTCCCTTTGATTCGCTTGTATCTGTATCTTGAACTCACTCCCAACTCATTCCAACTCATCGCACTTACCCCAAACCCTCATCTCGAACGCCACCCAGCAAATGCCAAATCCCTATCAACTCCCCCGACTCTTTCTGCGGCCAATCCATTCCAGCGCTGCGAGCTGGCTTCGAATGCTCCCCACGCCCACCTCAAATGCCTACCAAAAACACATCAACGCTGCCCAACTTGCGGTTCGAAATGACCTAGCGATTTATAGGTAAAAAAAGGTAGCTGGGTCGGGGTAGGGGCAAGGGTCGGACCCTTCCAAAGGTATATTTTTGTTGTAGCACAGCTCAACAACATAGGTCAATATACAAGAAATATTTATTCTGTTCGCGAACACAAATACAACATATGAATCATTATTGTCCAAATCGTACTTATGTTCGCGAACATAAGTACGACCTGTGCCAGTACACCAACCTTATAATAATTAAGGGCCTAGAGATGGTTCAGTTGGGTCCAATCATCATGAGGGTTGGGTTGGGTTGGCTGATGGACAATTTCTCATCAGGGCAAACATCATCAATCCCACCTTCCAGACTAAATGAGGCGGTGCAGAGCCCCAATCTTGCTTGTGCCCAAATTTGCTTACATTGGCTACCAGAAATGGCTGCTGTGCAGCCCTGACCTTGCTTGTGATAAGGCTTTTGCATGTGAGGTTAGTGGAACCGGAATGTTTTCTGCCAACATCATCAATCTTTCCATCAAACTGGTAATGTCTTTCTGCACCATATTATGCCAAGGTTCTTTCTACTAGAGTGCTCGCACTTTGCTGGACTCTGCACTGCTTACTTATTTCCTTCAGTTACCGGGTATATTGTGAGACAGCGATGTAAACTTTTTTATTTGACCAAGAGATCAGTTTCAACATACAAGAATATGAAGTCAAAAAAAAAAGTCACCCCAGTGTTCGAAAGGAGTGAAGTATTTGAAGTATGATCGGGATGAATTTCTTGAATGATGCAAGTCTCATTGGTGGCAAGACGTTGCACATCCTCTTCAGATTGACTGCATGTGGTGCAAAGATGCTGAGTGCCAAAAAGATTGAAGAATTGGCATGATTTTGGTGGGGCAAGGAATACTTGATTATTGATGAGTATTCAATGGTGTTGCAGACATTATTTGCACAAATCTCAAGCATTCTGGAATTGGTACGAAGGCACAACTATCCAGATGAAATGAGCACAAAGGCATGGGGAGGGTTGAATGTTATCATATTTGTGGTGATTTTCACTAGTTCAAACCTGTGGGACAAAGCCGAGGCACTCCACTATACTGGAACTTGAAGAAAAACAAACATGGTGGAAGAGGCTATTGGGAGTGAGCTCTATGCCCAATTCAGCATGGTAGTTTGTCTCACACAGCAAATGCAGGTGCAAGATGAAGTATGGACCGAATTTCTGTGATACTGCTGACATGGCAAGTGCGAACAGAGGCACTTGACAATAACTCTTGGTGAGTTGAGGAAGCGAGATGAGGAAAGAAGAAAGGGAGGAGGGATGGTCAGGAGTGATCTTGGTTACTGTCATATCCGTTCAATCCTGACCTCCGCTCTGGGCTCCCAGAACTCTGAAACTGACTCTGGAGCCCCACTTCCCTTCCATCACCTTCTTCTTGCCGACTCACAAGAGGTTATCCCACCTCCAGCTCCGACACCATGTTTGGTCCAACTCCGGACCATCCGGGGTCCGACCTCAACCTCAACACCTCCCAGATGAGTATGCAACTATGCTCCTGACTCCGGACCTCTGCTCTGGATCCCATTCACATCTCCATCTTGGAACTCTGGTCTTAGGACTTTGACCCCACCTCCACTTATACTCATTGTATTGGTTAGCCGATTCCATTTATTTACCTTTGCCAATATTCCGGAGTTTTACTTCCGAGTTCAGACTTTCCGGACTTACTTCCAACCTTGCAACTATTGCATTGTCCCATTCAATTCCGCTATTCTCCCTCATTCCTATTTGGGCTGCTGCTCCCTTTCTATTCAGTCAGCTAGCCATTCCCGACTCCCAACCTCCTTCCTTCCTCCTTGGGCCTTGGCCCTTCACTCCTCCTTTGGGAGACACCATTGAGTCAAACTCTTGACCCTCAGTGTGTTCCCCCTTCCAGCTCCCTTTGTCTGCTTCCAGCCCACCCTTGTTCCTTTTGATTCCGGACCCCTCTGCCAGAGACCAGATTGAGACAAAGGAATGGCGGAGGGCTTCGGCCTCAGCGACTTATGCCAGGAGCGCTGTGCCAAGTAACACGTCCGTGCCCTAACTTACTAACTGGCAACCAGAACTAAAAGGGGGTAAACTCTAGTCGATTTTATTACTGAGGTGTAACCTATGTACAAGTTGAGTATATATATAGTTACAATGAGGGCGGGCCCGTAAATGGTGGGGCCGAGTGGAGTGGAGCTAATGGGGTTGAACATTAGCCGATTGAATATTACCAACAAGTCAGGTTACAGGGTTAGTGGAATGGTAGGCGATAACCCAGAAATAGAAAGGAGGGATAGGCCCAAAGGTGGGCTTGCAGGGCAAGCGAGTGTATTGCCCAGCAGAGGCGGGAGTGCACTAGTGGATGTCAGAGCTGTCTGGAAGCCTTTGGGGCTCCGTACTTAGGGAGGCATAGGTAATAAATTGAAAAGAGGGGGTGGTGACCATCGAGGGATACCGAGGTGATTGTGGAATACGGGAGCTCCGAGGTTAGTGAAGAAGGAGCGGAGGTAGTCCGGAGAGATCGGAGGTAGTGGAAGTCGATAGCTGTGGATGGATATGACACCCTCCTTATATACAATGTACCTAGTAACTTGTAACCTCAGTCCGAAATCGACTGGAATTCCCCCCCAAGAGACTTTCCCTCTGCTAGATCCGAAATTAGGGACCCCCAGGACAACCAGCAATGGCACAGCGCTCCGCCTGAGTCGCTGAGGCCGAGGTCCTTCCATGCTAAGTCTCTGATTCCATTCCGGAGTCGCCCGAATCCCCGCATTCTAACAGTTCGCATAGCGAACGTGCCGGCATCATGGGAAAGTGGACCTCAGAGTATTCACAATCTCCAAGATCGTGATATGACATCGTCCATCGAGCACTGGGGGGAAAGCTGAGTGATGAAGTCCTGTAGGGTACAGATTCCATAGGATGATATACATGTCAAGAGTCTTTGACTCACGACCTCGAGTTCTCACAGCCAGGACTGCTAGAGGACTCGACATAACCAGACTTATAAGACATGTTGTGAGTTGTACAGTCACACAGGTTCAGTTGAGTCACAGGAAAGGGTTGTTACAGAAGACGACACACAAGACAGTTGTAGAGAGTAGTAGTTAGTTAGCGGGAACTGCCTTCAGCGGTTTCCA